CTTTTAATTTGTAGTAAAGAAAAATGAAACGGGTATACAATTATATAGAGGACATTGCAGCTTTTCCCAGTGGATAAAGTTCTGTTGAGGTCCCACACGAACGGTTCAGTAAGGATTCAGTTCCTCCATCTTGCACCCAAGATCTTTCCAGAAGCAATCGTTTGATGAGAAGGGAAGGAATCCAAGTAAAATACTCTCATTACGGAGGACATCTCTCAGGAGAGCACCAATCTAGTGTGATTTATTAATGAACCTGTTAGAAATTGAGCCTACTTCTTGGTACTTTCTGAAGTATGTGCTTCATTCCTGTCCTTTTGGTTCCGGGTGCCATCCACACAGGCTCCCTGCAGGCTTGTCAATAGAGAGAACTCAGTGACATTCTGTCATTCTGAATGTCGTTTCGACAGTATCTCCTGTTTCTCATGGGAACATCGGATTTTTAAAGAAACAAGTATTAAAATTTCAGTTATGTTCCGGTTGAACAGAAATTCTAAACCTTGAATTGTCTGTGCTCAGCACACATCTGGCTCACAGCATATCTGATTTCCAAAGCCGATAAGACAAAACAGATAAGTTTGTACCGCGCACCTTATTTCATTTAAAATGGATCTGTTGGTTGCTTGTGATGATTCTCTTGTAAATGATCATGCTTACCCTGTGTTCTCGTTATGAAATATATTCCTTCTCGTGTAATTACATACCCTTTATCACAAAATGAAACTCAATACTGTGCCCATACATACATAAACTGTACGAGAAATCAAACGTTTCCTAACTTGTGGTGGCATTAAATCAGACGACAGAGGGGAGAATATGAAGCCTATTTCGATGGGGAGGCAGCACATTCATTCTCATTATCTGCTACAAGGACCTGAGAAGCAAGAGCTGCTTATCCTACAGCTTCCTCCTGCCTTCCTTGGCGCTGGCAGGGCTCTTCTTCAGAGGCAGGCCCATCCCATTCCAAGCCTCACACTTTGTTTTCTTCCTCTCGCTTTGTTTCCAGGGCAACCACCAACAACAAAGTGCGGGAGATGGTGGTGCTGGAGCTGAGCTATGTGAACTCCAACCTGCAGCTGCTCATGGAGAAGCTGGAAGGCCTCAACAGCTCCGTGGAGGTCTACCAGAACGTGCAGTGAGTCCCCCGCCGCCCTGGCTGTGTCCCACTCGTCCTCTGCGCACTCCCGCGGGGAGACACCGCGGTGAAGCAGCAGACGCCTTCCTTCACACAAAATCGAGAGGGTTTGGGATGATTGAAATATCCCGGCTCGAGTGCCTCTGTGCAGCTGCAGTACAGAGGGTTGCAGAAACTGTGTGGAGCACTGTTGACAGGTTTCAAGTGGTCAGGAGAGCCTGCAGGCACGGAGCCTTGAGTGCCATGTCAGTTTTGCACTTTACTGTAATCCTTTCCCTGTACTTAAGAACATAAATTATTTTTGGTAAAACAAAAGCCTCACGACAGGATCCTTTTCTATAGAATTTCAGTGTTTTAGGGCAAAGTCAGAGTCACAAATTAATTTCAGGATTGGTTCTTAAGATCTTGGATTTATGATGGATTGCGAGGACCTCTAATAATAATAATCTTAATAAATTGCAGCCTTAATTTAATGTAAAATGTAAAACATACAGTAGGTATTGTACTGGGATGCCCTATCATGAAGTTGGCATGCTGCAAAATGAGGCTCCAAGCCTTGGCACGTTGACAAGCCATGAGGCCAGTGTGTTGCTGCTCTTGCTGAAAGAATGGAAAGAGGCATGTGCAGAACAGGAAGGGCTGGTTTTCTCTGTTGAAGGTGTTGGATCAAAGTTCATGTGTTTCTCAGCTCCAGGAGGTTCAGGTGTCCAGCTCACCTCAGCGAGCGCACTTGGTAAAGCTGAGCAGGATTCTGGTCGCACCTGTTTCTTCTGTGCCTAGAGTAAACACAATGTTTTTTACAAGAGTACATGCACTCTTGTGCTGTTGAGTGTGAAAGAAAGTTCTGTGTTTTCTATAAGCTGGAAGAGCATATGTTTTGTTTAGATATAGAACAATTTTGTTAGATTTTGGAGCTGGGCAGTTTGATTGATAATACTATTATATCATTTATGTGTGACTGGCAGCTTTCTAGATGTTCTTTTTTTTATGGGACTGAGCAAATCTTTTAAGTTTAATTCCTGGAGTTCATATTCCAAACAAGGTCTGTGTTTTAACTACTTTTTTAATTAACATTAATTTGCAAGTAAAAACATTATAAGTAAAGTCTTGAACTTGTGAAATATACCGCGTGAAAGCAACTGATAACACTGAAAGAGATTAGAAAAAGGCTCCTGTTTCAGGGTGCCTACTGGCACTGTTAATGTTAATCTGTTTTTACAGCATCATTTAAACATAATATGCACAAGAGGAAACCAGCAATTTCCCTGTCCAAATGGCACCAGGAAGGCAGTGCCAAAGCCTGTCCTTCAGGCTGCAGTTCAGACGACCCATCTGTATTCACAGTCACGCTCTGTGGAAGCACGCCGGGTTTCCAATGGCAACCGCAATGAAAAGAGTGATTAAAGCTGTAAACGAAGCAGCCGTAACATTGGGTGAAGGAGCACCAGTAGCCCGGCAGCGCGCCTGCTCACCCCCGCCAGAGCCCGAGCTCCATCCAAGGGGCAAGCCTTGTCAGCGTTCACTGAGCACAATCCAGCGGTCTGGTTTACCACTCCTGCCCATCTGGCATGGCCTGGGTCACTTTCCCATACGTCCTCTCTGCCTCTCTGGGTATTTGTGAGAATAGTCAATGGCATTTGCCTGCAGATATGTGATTCAGCCCCATTTCTCTCCACAACCCTTTATCCAAGCCATCAATTTACAAAAGAAACACCCAAATCACCAAGTCTTCTCATCTCCCGAGACACCCACTTACTTAGCGGACTGCAGCAGTCTGTTCTTGGAACAGTTCACATCTATTTGTTTTTATCAACAGTCTTATACACACTGGGGCCGTAACATCGCTGTAACAGCAACACAGGCAAACGACGGCGGTCGAAGTGCCTTCAGAAGTGATTTGCACTCTCAGGGAGACTTTGCCCATAGAACACCAGGGTGCCAGGAAAAGTGACTTTTAAGAAGCAGTTCATTCCAGTTACAAGTTACTTCTGAAATGGATAACATTGCAAAAATATTCAAAAATAAAATAGCAGTTTAAGAGGAAATGTATATTTTACATGGTAACTACACACACTACATAGACCACTGCAGCTGATGGCTTTTTAAAATTATTCCTGTAAATGTTAAACAGTAAATTGTGTTACTAATGTTACGCAAGGGTCCAATATTAATTTTGTCTTAAGGACCAAACTACACCTTTCATCTTGTGAGTATGTACTCCCAGTAATGTACTCTGAAGTATTTACTGAGCAGTCGTTAAGATATTTCTTTAATAATGTCTGGACTACTTCCAAGTTTTTTTTTTTTACTGCTGTAGCCTTTTTATCCAAGGATTTCCTTACAGATCTGAAATCTGAAAATATTCATCTCCTTCCCATTTATCCAATTTATTCCCCCCCTTATCTCCTCCTACTAAATTCACACATGAGCACATTCCCGTATTGCACAAGACTGATGACTGTCCTGTAATTTCAGTGCATACCTATGTCATGTTGTCATCCGACAGGCAGAGCCCTGGTATCTGTAGACTGTGTTCCCCTGGACTGGACAGTTACAGTCAGGATAGCCAAGGAACAAGTTAAGGCTTGTCTGAATAAATACTACAACAGGCTATTCTCTGTGACAGGAGTGCAAGGTGGAACTGCACCTTGATTCACGTATATTGGAAATGTCTAAGGTTAAGCAGGTGCTGTACATGATGAGGCATTTCATTTTTACACAGAATCATAGCAGGATGTTTCTTTACAATCCTTGAAAACGAATCTGAAATCTAAACTCTCTTAAAAATATAAAACCTGTCGCCTAGTATAACATTAAAAATGCTGACTGAAAAAAAAAAGCTTAATTAATAACACGCTGATATGATACATTAGCATAATGGTACAGAATTCGTCCAGAACTGAAAGCTTTAGTTAGTTAGTGCAAATTCCATGAAGGCTTTCTTGTCATAGAAATCTTTTAGCCCCTGGTAACACTAACTCACTTTTTTCATGCAGCAGGTGAGAAAAGGTTCACCTTTTGATAACCCATCTACAGCTCTGTAGATAGTGATTGTTTTCACGGATGAATAAGATCAAAGTTAAACAGTCGTCTATTGTTCCCACTATTGTTGTCCACTTTGGGGCAGCCACCAAAGTTCTATGGCCCCTGGCCAGCTGTGTCACCTCTTGGGGTTACTAACATTTGGTTATTGCAAATTGGATTTGGGTTTGGTGTCACAGTTCTCACCTCCATATTTGTCTTACTGATAAAAGAGTCTTTCCCCTTTCCTCCCGACATACGATCAGAGTTGTAGCAGCAGAGATTCTTGAGCACTTGCCAGCAGGAACCCCAGGATATTACATGTCAATCTGTGTTTGAGAGGGAGCAACATATGTAACACGAAGGAATCCTTGTTTTTGAGTCTTTCAGAAGAGCAAAGTGAGCTGTTGACTTGTTTCTTTAATGAACATTGATCAGGGTGTCTTGGTGGTGAAGTGGTCCGCATGGCTGCCTCGCAGTGCTGGGGCTCTGGGTTCAATTCTGAGGGTGCTGTCTGTGTGGAGTTTGCATGTTCTTCCTGTGTCTACACTGGTTTCTTTGAGGTGTTCTGGTTTCCTCCCACAGTCCAAAAAAAAAACTAGGTAGGTTATTGGCTTCTAGGAAAATTGACCCAAGTGTGAGTGTGTGGTTATCTGTGTGTGCGCTTTGCGATAGACTGGTGTCCCATCCAGGGTGTAACCTGCCCTGTGGCTCCGACTCCCCTGTGAACCTGCATTGGATAAAGTGGTTAAAAACGGATGGATAAGCAATGATGAAGGCCCACTACTAGGACACAACAGATGTGTCCCAAAGTGGAATAAATTGTGGGGATTTAAGAGTTGAAAGGTTAAAGGTCTTCACAAGACTGACAACTGGATAAACAGTGGTTCACAGATACTCCAAACATTGCTGATCCAGCAGCTCCCCATTTAGCTTCTGTCAAAGAGATGGGGGAGAGGTATACTAAACTTCAGAAGCCGAGGAAGCGAACGAAGTCCAGATGTGCCTTCTTTCCTGGAATCTGCTCCAGTGTGCCCAGTCCTGACAGTATCCTTTCACACCAGATAAGAAACTGCACTTGTTAAGCATCAGACAGCAAGCTCCAGTATATGTGGTTTTCATCAAGTCAGTGCTCTGCAATGTTTTTTTCTGTTACGTGTCAGTGATGCCCTGTCCCGCAGCAAACTTTATAATCCTGTGTGAAGTATCGCCCTGTATCAAAGCTTGAAACCGTAAAAGCAAACTTGAGACCATAGCTTATAATATGGAAATTTGTAGGTAGTCACAACAAGCAGCACTGCAAAGGAAATGGTAGATTTTCAATTTTTATAATATTGATATATCCTACATGGTGCTCTTTATTTTTTGTATTTGTCCCTAAAGAACACACAAACGAATTGATTTGTGTGGTTGGATTTACCCTCGTGGTTTTTTAAGAAGTCTGACTGCAGGCGGGTGTTAGGATATCTTGTTGTAAGTCAAAACAAATGAGTAAGAGGACCTGGTGCCATGTGGTTAGGAGCAAAACACAGCTGTGTCTCTCTTGTGTCGCAGTTTCCAAAACCATAATGGCTTCACTCTAACTGAGGGTGGATAAACAACCATTGTGTGAATTATAATATTTCTTCAGGTAAAGATCTGATCAAGACCAATAGTGTGAAACGAATCCCTGCCTAACAAAAAAGGAGTTACTTTTGTAAATAAGCAGACGTTGATATTGCTCTGCCTAACCTATGAAAATCCACACAGCTTACATGCTTCCAGCTTCATCAATCCTTTAACCTGTGTTGATTTATCTTATCTTTTTTTCTATGTGATCAGAGAGACGTCCAGCATTCCTCTCATCCCACTGGGACTGAAAGAGACCAAAGAAGTGGACTTCTCTGTTCCTTTCAAGGTACGGGACTGCTGAGAGTTTAGCCTTGAGATGACAGTGTCAGCCACGGTTGACCATAAATACATCTCTCTTTGCTATGTTGTTCAGAAGCAGGCCATGCTTTAAAAATCCATCCAAAACCAAAGTATTATTTATTTCTTGTTAGAATTACAGCTGCCCAAATGCGTTATCTATGCAGAAGCCTTTTCTTTTGAAAGCTCAGTAATATAGAGGTTGTCAGTAGTGTTGTGTTTATTTCTTATCGCCATACCTTGTCTTGCGTATCTCCTTGATTTACACCCTTTATAAAAGACAATTGCAGGCTAGGTTTGCCATAGTTAAGGCCATCATTATGCTGGGTCTAATGATAAGGTATCAGGTTTCCTCCTCCATTGCTGACGGCTCTGCTGCGAGAGCTTTCCCGCATGTGCTGCAGAAATGCTTGGCAGTGACTTGCACGAGACTTGAGCTTCCAGTTAATTTAAAGACTGTCTGGGCGTCTAGTCCTACATTCCAGATCAGAGAGCAAAGTGAGGCATTAAAGCACAAACTGGAGCAACACGTTATTAGCACAGCAGTCTGCCTCCGTTCCAGAAGACATTTTCAGTAGTTGGGTCAGATCCTTAATAAGTCCGATACCGTGACAAACTGTGTGAGAGGTTGTTTGGCGTGACTCACCCAGCTGGGGGACCAGCAGGCGGACTGTAAGGATGAGAGTGACTGAACCCCCCCCTCACTTCCATGAGGAATGAGCCAGGGAGCTGCTGCAAGGGTGGAGATGGGGCGGTGGGAGGGGTGCAAGACAGATGTGCAAAGGGAGGCAGGGAATATCTACACACTTAGGAGAACACACACGAGCAGGACAACAGTCTGACCTTCCTGCCAAAGTTCTGTAATCAACTCCATTTCTCAGATGTTTCAGGTTATTGTTGCAGCACTTCTAACGTGCAGGTCTGCTCCCGCCAGCTCCTTCCATGTGGTGACCTTTCTGTTTGTCATCACAGGACTTCATTTTGGAACATTACAGTGAAGATGGCTCAAAATATGAAGAGGAAATTGCAGACCTAATGGATCTGCGACAGGTGAGGCTGCAATACTGCCACACCCAGTGCAGGTTTCTTAACTTCTACATTTGAACTTATATATTATCAATTTCAGTTTTGTTTTTATTCTTAAATGTTCCTCGTGAGTTTATCCATCCACCCATTTTCTAACTGCTTCATCTAATACAGGGTTGCTGAGGAGCCAGGGCCTACTTCATCGTTTTACATAGTATCGTAACTAGATTAAAATAGTTGGAAGATTCTATCATATATTTAATATATGTATACTCATACATATTCTGTGTATTTTCTATACTTTTCATTTGTCTGAATGGATGAGATCCTAGGATCAATTATCTGCTAACTACCAAATAGGCTGGATAACCTTTCTGACGTTCTCATATGTGTGGCACAGTGGCGCTGTGTGTAGCATCGCTGCCTCACGGCGCCGAAGCCCTGCAGGGAGTTTGCACGTTCTCCAGGTGCTCCACGGGTTTCCTTCAGGTGCCCTGGTTTCCTTCCACAGTCCAAGACCTGCTGGAAGTCTTGACTTCTGGGAAAATTGACCCTGGTGTGAGTGAGTGTGTGTGTGTGTGTGCCCTGCAGTGCACTGGTGTCCTGCCCGGGGTGTATCCTGCCTTGTGCCCGATGCTTGCTGGGATAGGCTCCGGCTCCACCCTTGACCCTGGATTAGATGAGGCGGTTAGACAATGGCTGATGGGTGTTCTCCTTTGTCCTCTTGGTGTCCGCAGGCCTGCCGCACCCCCAGCAGGAGTGAGACTGGAGTTGAGTTGCTCTCCAGCTACTTCAGCCAGCTCTCGTTTGTGGAAAACAGATTTTTCCCACCCAGCCGACAGATGGGAATATTTTTCACATGGTATTCTGGTCTTTATTGCTTTGTGATTACGTTTACTCTCTTAAGTTTTCACTTGTGAGGAATGGTTATAAACGAGTGCTTATATACTTGACAAGCCTAAAAAATGAGAGTAAAAAATGTTTTATAGTTTTTTTTAAGAAAAACAAAAATGTGGGTATCATTTTTAGGGATTTGGGTAACATAGTATTCACAAGAATGTACCTCCAGTGGGTTTACTAGAAGTTAGATCTAGTGACTGTTCTAGTAATAGTTTATCAGTTCCTGATGGAGCACGATTCAAGCCGTGTTCTTGGCTGAAGCCATCGGAAGCTTGACGTTGACCTCAGCCGTGCCTCCTGGCAGGTATGACTCTTTCACCGGAGTGCCGGTGTGCCAGCAGAACATCTCCTTGGAGAAGGCCAGCGTCCTCTTCAACATCGCAGCACTCTACACTCAGATAGGCACGCGCTGTGACCGCCAGACCAGGACCGGCCTGGAGGACACCATTGACGCCTTTCAGAAAGCTGCAGGTACGCTCAAAGCTTAATAAGAATAATAATAATAATAATAATAATAATTGCTTACACTTACATAGCGCTTTTCTGGACACTCCACTCAAAGCGCTTTACAGGTTAATGGGGACTCCTCTCAACCACCAGTGTGCAGCCCCACCTGGATGATGCGACGGCAGCCATAGTGCGCCAGAACGCTCACCACACACCAGCCATCAGTGGGGAGGAGAGCAGAGTGATGAAGCCAGTTCAGAGAGGGGGATTATTAGGAGGCCGTGATTGGTTAGGGCCAATGGGAAATTTGGCCAGGACGCTGGGGTTAAATCTCCTACTCTTTTCGAGAAACGCCCTGGGATTTTTATTGACAGAGAGTCATGATCTCGGTTTTACGTCTCATCTGAAGGACGGCGCCTGTTTACAGTCTAGTGTTCCCGTCACTACACTGGGGCATTAGGACCCACATGGACCGCAGGGTGAGCCCCCCTGCTGGCCCCACTAACACCTCTTCCAGCAGCAGCCTGAGTTAACCTTAGCTTAAAGCTCAAGCTTAAGTAACTCCCTTTACTCAACATGAAACAACATTTCGCAGTTAAGCTCATCTATAAATCTTGGAAATGCTAATTAGAATGTCTTCTATTCTGTGTCTTCTTATTTCCTCTCATTGTATTCTTGAGCTATCTCTTATTGTGTTACACCGCTCTGGGCCAGCAATAGCTGAAGACAAGCACAGCCCTATTTACAGATGAGGAAGTGAGGGGGATTTAAGGTTAATAGTTAATGAAATGCCACCTTTTGGTAAATGATGTTGGCTTTGTTCTTTTGTGCAAATGCAAATGCATTTTAGTAGTTTGTCACTGACTTTTATATTTATATGCAGTACTAACTATTAACGATGAATGCAATCAGCAGGTGTCCTTTGTTTCAGATTGATTTCTTTGTGGGTTAGTTTGTTGGGTTTAAGATACCTCATAGCCACAAATGTGACCCCCCACAGCTTCAAAGAATAAGACACTACTTTCTACGTAACAATACCTTGATAACGCAGATTTTCACTGTGCTGAAACAAGACTAACAGTCGGAGCAACTTGTACTGGTTCCAATAAAACTAGCAGAATAAGGAGGGTTAGGTTTATCTTCATGTGATGAATTAGGAAGGTCGCACTTCAGCTTTGTTTCCTACTGTCTTTACTCATGCAAAGTTGTTGTGCATGAGAAACAGGCTATGCAAAACACTCTGGTATCAGGTTCATGCAGACAGTGTTGACTTTGTTCCCCGTTAACAAGGAATTTCATTACATCCTGTTATCTGTACAACATAAGTCAGGCCTAGAGGTCCACTATAATCCTTTGCTTTGTTCAATCAGCATTAAGACAAAGCAGAGGTAAACATTAAAGGTTTCACAGAAAGAAAGTAATGTTTCTAAATAATAAGTAAATAAAGTCAATAAAATAATGATAAAGGTTACATTGAGGGTAAAATCCAATAAAGCTTTAGATTTGCATGCGGTTTAAGTATTTAGTTTGGCATCTTAACAATCAGGAAGTGCACAGGTGGTGCTTTCCTTGTTGGGACAGTGTTTGTTGCCTTCCTTGATTTTAGCATTTTATGCTTCTGATTAAAAAGGCATTTCAGCAGGAATTCAGTGAATGCAGAAGAAGTGGCCCATGTGTCAACAGGCTTTATCCCCAACTTGTAAGACTGGGTGGAATCCAGCCCCCACTGTGAGAACTGAGCCTGACGTGCTGACAGACTTGGCTGTTTATGTTGACATGTCGGACAATGCAGGAAAGCAATTAAAAAGGTGGAAATTTGCTAGGATAAACTACTGTATGGTTACAATAATAGCGTTTAAATCCATGGATGTCATGTTAAATTGTATAATGCACAGTGAAGGCCTCAGTCAGAATATTTTTGTACAGTTTTGTTCACCATGTTACATTAAAGATGTTGCTGTGCTGGAATCGGTAAAGGGAGGATCCAGCAGAAAGAATTCCAGGGCTGAAGGGACTGAGCTACACTGAGAGGCTGAAAGAACTGAGCCTTTGTAGTCCGGAATAGGGACAATTCCAAAGGAACCTGATCCCAGTCTTCAGAATCCTCAAAGGCGCTGACAAATATCAGCCAGAGGATTTCTTCAGAAAGGGCAGCGAAACACGAACCAGAGGACGCACGTGGAAACTATGCAGAAGTGCATTTAAAACTGAAAGTGGGGGGTCTTTCTTTACCCAAAGGGTTGTAGGAGTATGGGCCAAGCAGCCCCGCTATGTTGGTGAAACTGATACCCTGGTTTCTTTCAGTTTCTTTGGATCAATTAGCTGCAACTTACTGAATGGGCTAAATGGGCTGATTGGCCTCCTGTCCTATGTAACTTTTCTAACGTACGTGTCGCCCCCTCAGGAGTCCTCAGCCACCTGAAGGAGACCTTCACCCACACCCCCAGCTACGACATGAGCCCTGCCATGCTCGGCGTGCTGAAGAAGATGATGCTGGCCCAGGCTCAGGAGTGCGTCTTCGAGAAGACCGCCCTGCCTGGCATCAGGAACGAGTACTTCTCCCTCTTGAGAATGGCACAGGAGGTTGCCAAGGTATGGAGAGCCAGTGACTGGGATCATCTTGGGTACAGCCCCAGCTAAACCCAACGAGCACTGCTGCTGTTCTCGTTGATAATACATCAGGGAAGAGCATTTACCCCCGTCAGTGACAGAGCTCAGATGAGTTAGTGAACCTACATGTGATAGGTTTTCACATTTGTGAAGCACACTGACCTGAATTATGTTCTCTATGCAGAATCTTATGTACTTAGTCTATGTATATAGTCACCCGCATCGTCAAGTTTTTTAAACTAATAATAATAACTAATAACTAATAACAGTTTTTTGATGTCCCTCAATTTTCAGTGTGTGGTTCAGTATAATAAACACAGTCCAGTTTCCAAAGCAGCATCTGATCTTTGTAAACGAATCTTGCTGTGTGAGCTTGCTTCTGACCTTGAGAATGAGGATTGTTTCATGTTACGGCAGGATGGAACAGAGCAGCTCTTTGGCCTGTTGGTTCGGTCTGACGGTGCCGTGTTTTTCTCCTCTGCTCCTCTCCCATGTGTGGAACGCGGCGGGCGGGGCTCTAACGTGTCCGTTGCTCTCGCAGGTGGCGGAAGATTACAGTCTTGTGCACCAGGCGATGACTCAGAGTCCAGTCAAGGACAACGTGCCCTTCTTCTGGTCGACCATGGTGCAGGTGAAGATGAGCCACTACCGCGGCCTGGCCCATTACTTTGTGGCCACCGCCCTGCTTGATCATAGACGTAAGCACCACAGCGCCGTCTTCCTCACCCTCGTCTTTCCGGTGTGTGGTTTCGAGCTGCGCAGCAGTCTTGCCATGACAAACCAGTTTGCTCCAAAGACCAGTCCTGCTCCCTTCCTTCACGGCAATTTCAGTAGTGTTGCAAAATCCGTGAAAAGCTTTAATCTTTCCCCATGTAATATTTTTTTTAAATCAACTGAGATGAAACTACTAGGAAATAATGAGCAGTTCGTTCTGTTACACATTGAGTCCGTTTTTTAGGGGCTTATAACCAGTCTCTAATAAACCAGACTAAAAGAACTAATCCGCTTCAAGCATGTTAATTGTAACATCTTTAACGAGGAAAAAATAACAGGCTTTGTCCTGAAGGATAAAAAGTGCATCTCTGCCTTTTCGTGTGCATCTCCTTCAGCGTGTGTGTCAGATGATACCATGATCTCTCAGTTTAAAGATGGATTAGCTGATGCCCGTCTCTGTTGTGTGTCTGTGTGCTCAGTGGGCCCAAACGATGATGAAGACCGGCAGGAGAAGGCCTTATCCCAGCTCTACGACAGCATGCCTGAGGGACGCTCGCCTCTCGACATCCTCAAAAGCAAAGATGAACGCACGTTCCTAGGTAAATCTCCAGCGATTCGGACATCACCGCAAGCGTGTGATGAATCTCTGGGGTCTTTGCTTGTGGTTTTGGGCCGCAGTGCTCCAGTTTCCGGCGCGTGTTTTGAGCCTTGAGCAGCCTGTGTGACCCAGGCCTGGCAGGGCCAAGCCAGGGTCACGTCACCGGCCAACAGTAACTGGGGTTCCCCAGCGCAGCACCCCCCGTGGCCTCCTGAGTGCCGAAGGGCGTGAGGTGCTGCCAGAGATTCACACGCCCTGCCTCCAAACTGCACTGGGCTGAGTTTGTGTTAAAAAGAAAGAAAAGATCAACACAAATGTTCCCAATTGTGTGTGCGTAGCATAGGTGTGTAAATTCAAGGTGTTGTGCTTGTATTAGTGAACGACAGCCTTGCAGCGCTGTGACAGTGGTACCTGCGTCCTCTCCCCAGGAAAAGCGCACCTCCGGAAGGCCGTCCTGGGGCACGAGGAGGCCCTGCGGGTCCATGGCCTGTGCCGACACCTGAAGAAGCTGGACATCCTGCACGAGATCCTGCAGGTCAGCCACCGGCGCTCGGCCGACAAGTACTCCGCCTACGAGACCGGGGACGACTTCGTGGACTACAGGGAGGCGCCCGACATCATCTGTGAGTGTGAACTGAGGCGCCCGCAAGGCTCCTGCGCTCGTGCGTGTGCAGCGCTGTGTGCGGATACGCGAAGGGTTCAGTATGTGGACAGCGTTTCTCTTTCCTGGCAGGGCCACAACAAGGCTTCTGCCTGATATTTATGTTTATTATCAATTTGCTTTTGTGTGTTCACTGTAGGTAGGTGACATGATAGTCTTCGCTATCGTTTAAGCTTCATTTTTAGAGTGTTGTATTTTGTTGATCATGTGGTGCCCGTTCTTGAAGAGCTGTACTATATTGATAATATTATTTGTTTTTCATCCTCAGCTAAAACAGAACAGAGAGCTGAAATTGCCGTGTCCTTTTCTACAAAGGTGAAAGTCAAAGACTTTTTCCAAAAGCTGGTATGTGGGTTACTAATTCCTACAAATAACAGGGCTCTTTTACCTACAACTGGTTAAGTGCTTTATTGGAAAACAACACTGAATTATTTCAATTACATAAAACACACTACTGAAAACTTTGACGTTGTTTTTTAATACAGCAAATCATGCGTTCTTTAAGTGGTGCACTACTAACAATATTAACCAACTAAATTTATCTTGAAGTTCACTTGGTATGGAATGTGGGAGGCCTGTTAATAGTTGAAAAATATTGGTCTCTTCTAAGTATCGAAGGGCAGATCCCAGCGTACCTGGCACAAAACCATGGCACGTTTATGATAAATACATTCTTTGAGATCATAAAAATATTTTTCAATTCAATTAACAGGTGTTTACTTTGGTTCTAAAGATGCCTTAAAGGAGCAGTTTGTCAGATGCTTTCTTTCTTGAGTTGTTTCCATCCCTAATGTAATTCTCCAGTGTTTCTGAGAGGAGCATCCTGCAGTATTTGGTTCTCTTGACTGTGTAATCCACAAAGCCAACTGGGCTCATAAACACCTTTTTTGCACATGTTTGGAAGAATGCGCTGTAATAAATATTTTTGCTTCAAAACCTTTAAACCTTTAGCATTATTTCAAAATGCAGCAAAATCCATCTAGCTCGGGGTTCAGATTCATGCCACATTCTCTTGCAGACTTATGGAGTAGAGTTTACATAACCAAGAATGATTTAAATGAATGATAATGTGTTATCTTTGGATTTTTATTTACCTTTCAATCTCTGGGGCAAAAAAGGCTACAAACTGTGATATATGCTGCAGTAATGCTCATAGTTAAAATATTATGTCTATAAATAGAGTGATGGGATTGTGGAGACATTCAGTGTGAAGGTAAACCCACACTGTGTCTGGTCCTTCAGGCTTGTTTGTGTAGCTCCACCTGAACAGATTCTGAATTTAGCTGACAAAACACCACAAAAGTACAGTTTAATAATGTATGCATGATTAGCTTTTCTGCATTTGCAGTTATGAAACAATGTGCAGGTGTGTTCCATTTCTATTTATAAAAATGGAAAAAAAGGCTGCTTCTTTCCAGGAATGGATGTTTCAGTTTTGCAATTGTTATTAAACTCTACACTGCCCTGTTTCTAATATTTAATATTTATTTACCTCGGCATTGCTAATGTGGAAGGTGCTGTGATAAAACTGTCATGTACTGTAGGTGTCGCAAGATGAGTGAGCTCTGGAGTCATTCTACTTCAAGGCCATACATGCCCGAGATTTCTTGTTTGAGTTTGTGTGATGTCACTGCAGCTGTGCTGACAGCTGTCTCTGGTTTCCAGGGACCCCTATCCCTGTTTTCAGCCAAGCAGAGATGGACAGCCCCTCGGACAGTCCGCCTGCGCACAGAGGATGGGGATCTGGGCTTCACGCTCAAGGGGGTTTCACCAGTGCAGGTCCAGTCCCTGGACCCCCTGAGCCCTGCGGCTGTGAGTACCCTTCTGTCTGAAGAGCAGCGCCCAGAAACACTCCCTGAGCAACTCGGGTCACAGGGCCCACTTTTCAAAACACTTAGGTGCTTACATTCCTTCTGCTTCCTTTGGGGATATAAGCACCTATTTCTTTGTAAAATAGGACCCATAAGACTATTCTGTAATTTAAAAGCTTCGAAACTATTAATTTTAAAACTTTTTCAACTAGTATTTTCTTAACGAAATAGTGAAATAGTGAAAGCAGTGTATCTGCAGCCACTTTACTGCAGTGGTGACATATTTGTAGTAGCTGCTTCCCTGTGGAACTCAATAGCTTCTTGCACTGACTTCAGAGAAAACTATTTAACAAACAGAATCCCGCTCCTGTTAACAGCATTCAGTTTTACTTGCGATTCTTGGGATATAAAGCTGAACTTTAAAGTGATCTTTAAACTAAGACCATGGGTCAGATGTGCAAGTGCACAAGGGTACCTTGTAAGGCTTCCTGGGAAGAAACACAAGTTCCCCTTCTTTTGCTGATTTAATTAAACTTCTGAGAACTGTACTCCTGTTTTTTTGTGAGAATGCTCATTATAATGCTAGCAACAAAGAGCGGGCCCTAATTAAAACCAACAGGCTTCATGTAAAGAGGGATTACCAAGATTATATAATGGCTGTACTCAAGTGCTTACGCTGTGGGTGAACTCTTTAATTATGAGTTACCAGACAACATTTGTTTGACCAGCTTTTTTTGCCTGAAAAAAAAGAGGAAAGAAAAAAAGAAGTGAAATGTTTTGTCAGAAGTGAAGTGCTGATGTTGACAAATTCTGCAGCCTTTTCCCACAACTCTCAAATGGAAACTGAAACAGCAGTCTCTCCTGTTCATTCTCGTAGATCTTGCACAGAGCTTTGGAAAGACCGCAGGCAGACATCTGTAGCATTCAGTTTTTCCTCTTTTCCCTTGTGCTGTCAGAGAGTAAACACATGAATAACTACAGCTGCCAGCAGCGGTCAGGATGACATATCCCTTATCATGGGCAAGGCCAGATTTAGATACAGCATTTGTGGTTCTTTAATGTGATGCAGAATAACCGTAATCATAGAATAAGGCCGCTTGCACTTTCTAAGTAGTTACAAGAAGATGTTGGCAGGGAGATTTAGGCACATAAGGGGTCCTACAGTGCGTCTTCTAGCCTTTACCCTGTCGGCACTCAGTACAGGGTCACAAGCTAATTCTGGTAGGACATGGCAGAGGTACAGTATATGGATGCAAAATCATGAATACGGTCAGCTTTACCAGGCTGGAATATAATTCCCCACACATTCAAAACACAGATACTCAAGCGTTAAGCACACTTAACATTTTATTGACTCATGACAACCACGTTTTTTAAGGCCGCTCCTTGGTTGGAGAAGAAGCCTGGCCTTGTCTGTTTATATCTATCAGTTCCTTGCAGCTTGTTTTCAGAGAAAACGTCATTGGATTGTCTTTCCACAAACCCAGTTTGGCGGCTAAGCCACAAGGCCAGCAGGCTTGGCTCCCCCTCTGATACAGCCACCCAGAGGCCTTCACACTGTGCTTGTTTTCTGCAGGCTTCTGGAATTGAGAGGAAATTGAAAATAGGATATGATAAAAAATAATCCACGCAGCACCTTCACTGCTTGGCTCCTTAGCTATGTGTTTGACGGCGCATCCAGGAGTAACAGTCCTGAATACAATTTTGTCACAGTAAAACTAAGCATTAAAAAAAAAGTGTTAACCTGTGAAGAGTTATAGTGTAGCCTCACTAAACACAAAAGGTTAGACACGAATTCCCACAGCAGCAGAAAAATGCTGGGAGAAACAGTGAGGTCACGTGACTTCAAATAACACGGTAATACGACTTCAAAGTAACTTCAAAGTGTGACCCTTTGAAAGCACGGTGAATTAAAAAACAAACTATGCAGTTTTAGCCTGGCTAATCTTCTATAGAACTGCTTGGCTGTGATGTGTGATGTAATGTTTTACACATACAGTATGAAGGGTGACCAATGTCTATTAGCGGCTGCAGGGTCCACCTGTTGCACTAAGTACTACGGTTCTTTTGATTGACCAGGGACCGGTGTGAAGCCACGTGCTCGTTGTGTTTGCTTTGTGATAGTCCCACCATCAGCACTTCTCCGTTCCTCACGAGCTGACAGTCCTCTGACCTTGTCTGGGCAGGTTGAGGGCCTGAAGGAAGGAGACTACATTGTGTCCATCAGGGACACGGACTGCAAGTGGATGGGAGTCAGTGAGGTCATGAAGCTGCTGAAGGATGTGGATGAAGAGGGATGTGACATCAGAGTTGTGAGCATGATGGACAACAGCCCCTGCATGGTAAGGAATGGGCTCATTTGCTCTTAAAAGGAAGCCTTCTTGAAAGGATATATCCTTACAGATCATCATGTTCTCCACAATTATAATTAATCATTCCTTAGACTTGTATAGTGCTTTTCTGGACACTCCACTCAAAGTGCTTTACAGGTAATGGGGATCCCCTCCACCACCACCAGTCTGCAGCCCCAGCTGGATGATGCTCCAGTCCGCTCCCCACACACCAGCTCTCAGTGGGAGGAGAGCAGAGTGGTGGAGCCAGTTCAGAGGTGGGGATCATTAGGAGGCCATGACTGGTAAAGGCCAGGGGGGAAGTTTGGTCAGGACACCAGGGTAACCCCCCCCACACTCTTTTCGAGAAATGCCCTGGCATTTTTAATGACCATGGAGAGCCAGGACCTTGGTTTAATCCAACGGACAGCGCCTTTTTACAGTATAGTGTCAGTCATTGGGCTTCTTCAGAAGTGGGGATAAATGGAATTCTTGGCTTTTGTTCATACTGCCCTTTTAAGTATTGACAATTTATTGAACGTCAATAAGAAAGTGACCCGAATGATACCTGTGAACGTGAATACGTCGTCTTTTAAAACAAAATGTCAGTGCTTGAGCAGAGACCATGTGGACGCTGCACATTGGTGGTGGTGGAGGGGAGTCCCCATTACCTGTAAAGCGCTTTGAGTGGAGTGTCCAGAAAAAAGCGCTATATAAGTGTAAGCTGTTATTATTATTAATTAATCTACGGTTTCAGGTGCTGGACTGAATCACTTTTTTTTCCTTTTACACAAATGCTGTGATTTAAATGTTGAAAATAGTGGGGAAAATAATTTTAAAGAATTTCAAAGGATTTTCATTATGCAGGGAAGCTGGGAAATCAAGGAATTTTCCTTCGGAGCCTCAGTTTAATTCCACTTCTGGTCTATGCTTAAGCCAGCTTTAGCCTTTTCCTCGGTTTCTCCTCCTCAGCCCAACAAGAGCGCTACCTTCTCCGGAGGCCTGCCCAAGACCTACTCCATGATCTGCCTGGCCATGGACGATGACAAGATCACAAAGGCCCGGAAGGTCACCAAGAAGATGTCCTTCCTCAGCTGGGGGATGAAGAACAAGCAGAAGAGTGCCAGCACCCTTAGCCTGCCCAATGCCGGCTACTCAGACACCCTGCCCAGAAGCAGGCTGTCCGCGCCCCTGCCCAACCCCCAGAGTACCAGCGCACTGTACTAGGACCTGCAGCCCCAGACACTGGACAGAGACCTGTTCCTGCTCGGAACCTTTATACTGCAGAAGAGGGGTTTTAGTGTGTATATATGTATAAAAGTGTATTGGATGAAAACTATATCTTGCACATTATTATTAGTGTTTTAAAATGTCAGTACTATTTTTTTTACCTCTTGTTTTGTTTTAACAAATGCTGCTGTCATTCTGGCGTATTAATACGGCGGCCCCGAGTCTCGTTTGAAGAGCACCCAAGGACAGTTTGGGTTTAGGTTTTCCTAGACCGTGTTACTTGATGTTCTCGCACTCATAGTCCCATATACATTCCTATGTTTGTGTGGAGGAGGGCCGTGACTGTCTTTTCCCTGTGTGATGGAGGGGGAGGACCAGACCCTCTTCCAGGCATTGCTTGTGCTCGAAATGGAAAGCTGGAACAAAGTGTGTTGTGTAGCCAGCTCCTGCGCCGGAGGAACTGAAGGGAAATAACAGCCTTTCTGTGAGAAGGCCTCACAAAGGTAACTGTGATCTGTGGTGGGCAGCTGGAAGTGAAAGGTGAAACTTAAAAAAACGTTTCCATTTTCAAATGGGGAAAAAGTGGGTAAGAGAAAGCAAGTGGAAGAAAACTGATTATGATGAAGAAAAGAGAATTATTTTGGCACGTTTGTTTCTATTTCAGCAGTTTCATACATTTGAAACAGAATTTCTTGCGATACTGTATGTGCTGTGGTGCAACACAGCCTTGTTCAAAGTAACAGACAACAGTTAAGCTGAAGGGATCTTACTTCTAGATAGAGAGGGAGAGAAACTTCTTGGTGTTTCTAGGACCTATACACTCCAAGTGTATCCTGCTGCTTATTTTGAAGGATTTTTTTTAAATTTACTGAAGTATCGTCTCTAGCTGTTTAATAAGCATGGTCATACCTGCCTTTGGATATTTCTGATGACCCCAGCGGTAATGTCAGTCACAGCGAGGGGCAGGGCTACTGTGAACATAATGATAAAATGTCCAAAGTTTCTTTTTACCATTATTGTATTTCATATGACCAGACTCTTACCATTTGCTAACACTTCAGAAAGTGTTAAAGAACATTTCTCTGTCTACAAGGTAGATAATAATTTATACCGTTTGATACTCAAATAATTTTATGTACAACAAAAATGAGAAAAAACTATATTCATATTTACTACATTCACTTTGAAGTAGTTATTTGTGTATTATCTGTTTCATTGATTTGTACTTTGCATGTAGTGAATGATTCTTTGTGCTGTACAATAGCTATTTTGTTGTTTGGTGTTTTTTAAATCTCTCTGTGGAAATTCTAAAGAAAGAAGCTGACAATCTCCACCTGCCATTTTTTTAAGTTGCCAATTACCCTTTAATAAGTGTTCATGTCTGAAATGAAAAGGTTTAGATGTTTGCAATAGAACACGCAGAAGAGTAAAGACAATAATATTCCTGATGCTCAACTGGAAACACGGATGAAAAAACAAATTTCCTCAGTCACATGTAACTGCTGTTCTTAATTTACATTTTAGGTGCTTTTTTTTGTTTTCTTTTTATTGCGTTCTACAATTTTGCTTATCATACATAGAATAAATTAATTAGGTATGAGAAGCCTTAAGGCAGTGCTTGTACAGACTGGTGTTGCTGGGGCTTCTTGTTCATGGATGCCTGCCCACCATAGGAGAATCCTATGAAACAGGACAAAATAGTGAAAGATTGCTGTTCATCAGATGAAGCGTTATTGTGGTTGCTTTTTTTGTTATCTCTGAGGTGATACCTGTGCATGGAATTGTAGAGACGGGCAGAAGGTTTCTTTACTCACTGTCCTCACTTCCCCAGGAACTTGGTTTTGTTCCTTAATAGTGCCTCAGTCGGAGATGTTGGGACTGTACATAATCTTCTAAGTAACTAAAAAAGGGTGTTAATGCTTAGAATTATTCACTAGATATACTAAATCACAGGAAAAACTGTAACTGCAAACTGGAATTTGAATAAATAATGGGAAAAAACCTCACCAGTCTGACACTAGTTTTATCAGAGTGTACTGTGTGGAATTCATGCAATGACTGGGGTCCCAATGCAGGATGTGCCCTGCAATTCAGGCCCTGTAAAGGCAACGTTACAGCAAAGAGTCATAACCATTGCAGGTGATCATCATGACTCAAGGGAAAAAAACATTAACTTGATTTTCATAAAGCATTACTAGGCTTGTCCATGATGTTGTGTCAACTCCCACAACGCAAACATTTGTTAAATGAATCATAGAAATAAGTAAATGTATTGTTAACAGGGAAACAAATGGAGAAAAAGGTTACATTTTTATGATTTTCACTACCAGATCAAAGCCTTTTGGGGTACAAACTACGGACGGGCAATACTTAAATATCGAGTAGAAAAGCCTAAAGCAGGACAGGGTGCAAAAGATTTTGTAGTGAATCTTTGTTTTAGGATTTGCAATTGGCGATACTTCCTGTCTGTGAATGTTCTACGACAATAAACTTTCATTTAAAAATGTATCCACCTAGGATAGATATCCTAATTCCTGACTTCCACTCTGCAAATCTTCCATTGCAAGCAACAGGGTTTGCACCACAGGGAGGACTGACGTTGCTCTTTCTAAATGCACGGTAAGCTCCAAGGCCAAAGGGAAAACTTTGGTGAAGAACTGGGAAAATCTGTGACAGTGTTTGGAACTGTGGCTTGGAGAATGCCATTCTTTTAGCTCCTGAAGTAGCACAGACTGTACTTCATTCCCTCACTCTTTCTGGGTAGGTTAGAGACAGTATTTTATTCTGAACCATTTCCTGTTTGTGTTCATTTTCAGTGATCCTTGGTGAGGTAGAATCAGGCCCCAACAGTCAGAAATAAAACTGATTACTGCTGGTAACTGGCAAGGGAGGGGATGGAGATAAGTGTTCTTGCTCATCTTGTCCGACACTGGCAGAGTGTGGTAATCTAGGAAAAAACACATCAGTCATCAGATTTTCCTGGGAAACCTTTGTACATCTGGCACTCTCAGCAGTTCAGTCTCTGTGGAGACGCATCTTGCAGACAAGGCTGACAGAGGTATCAAAACTCCCTCTCTGTTGCTCACTGTGCCTCTCTTGTGGGGAGGGATTTCTTTACTGCAAGGTGACTCTCCTGACTGTAAGTTTCTGAAAGCTGTTGACTGTAGCTCACATTGTGGAGAGAGGAAAGCTGGCAAATGTCAGGTAATTCCCTCATCTGCCTTATTGCTGTCTTTCACTTCCTCCGCTGATAAAGAAGACCTCCATGTTGTCTTTTTCTAGATTAAAAGCCAGTTACTGAAGATCCTTAATGAGCCGGACTGTGTATCTGCTCTGGTATGGAGTGGCTGTTAATCCCCAATTAAAATACGTTTTCCAGATTCAAAAACTAGAAGGAACGCTGTATTTAAGGATGTACAGTGTACAATAGTCTTTAGTGATGACATATAAAGCTGTAGTACTGAAGCATTACAGACATAGCTTAATCAGAATCTTGTTTCAACTTGAATCATTTATTACTGTTGAGGTTTATTTTCAGATCATCTTCTTAAATTCAATAAACACTGATCTTTTTTTAAAGACGACTTCTCGTTCACTTTTTCTTGATTCTACCTGGGCTGCGCAGAATTACTGCTTACTCGGCTGTGTGGGAGGGCTAGGCTTCTGCACGAATAACCCTGCAGTGAATATGCTACGTCAGGAAATGCTGCATCTAACCAAAGCAAGAGAACCGCCACCCAGAAAAAGACAGAAAACCTCTCAGGCTGTAATCACCCAAAACAAATGCTAACATTACTATCGGTGTGGATTTCATTTTATGATGTATTTGTTTTCCTAAACTTAGGATTCATTCTGCAGGTACTACTTAAGGAGAAAAGGGTGCAAATCATTTGACCTTCTTGCCTACTGACACAACTGACAGGGTGAAAGGGCACGCAACTACAACAAATATAGACTGAAACGTGTGTGGAACGAGATGATCTACACCTTTCTCACCTCTGCATTCATTCCTGAGTTGGTTCTCAAGAGATGATTAAAAGCATACCCTTTCTTTGATCTTCACGGTAAGGAATCCCTGAAATATGAACCCTCATTCCGGTAGAGGAAGCAGGGTGGCAGGTCAGCCTACAGCCCTGATGACATGCTCTCTTGCCTCATAGCTGCCCAAAAAGCCTACAGGGGAGACTGCTTGAAATGTGATCCTGACTCACCAGAGAGCCTTCACATTTTTCTCATTAACCTTGTCCTACCTGGCCTTGGATTAAAATGGATGAAACTTTTTTAAACCTTTTTTCAGTGCATATTGTCCTGCTGCGTCGGTCTCACGCAAAGACTGTCATGTAAATCTAAAATAAAAGAGGACTGCCGGGGCCTTTGAAACGTAATGTATTTTAAATCGCTCCAAGATTATTTGATTTCTACTTTCTAGCTTGAAGGATCAGGCTTTTCAAGCTTTTTTAGCCTGAAGGATGTTCTGCTACAGTAGACTGCTCCTTTCCAAACTCATATTTAACAGTAGGCTCATGCTCATACCAAGTTCCACTCAAAGCTGTTTTGAGGTGACTGATGAATATATAGCATTTTCTAAAGTTAGATACATTTCATTTATAACAGGACAAGCAGGAAGCTGGGCACAAGGAATTGGGAAGAAAACCAGACTTGCATTTGATAAACGTTTTTTTTTTAATTCTTAAAAGGAAAATATCAAAATAAGAAAAAAAGGAAACAGTTTGTCATCTCAGCATTTTATGAACATCCCCATTTTAAAAAATAATGTGTCGGTCCCCATTCCTGTTCATTATTTTCTAGTGAGGAAACCGTTACAAA